TCCTGCGTCTTGGCAGGTTGGTCCGTCGGTTGGGGTACAGTGCCTTCTGCCTCGCTGGATTTGTGGTCAGTGGACGGTTCCTTTGTTTTGGGCTGCAGTGCCTCAGGCTTCTCCACTTTCTTGGGGACTTTCTGCAACTCTTTTACGGCCTCAGCAAGCGCAGCAGCCGCCTCTTGATTCGCCTTCGTAGCCGCGTCCATCGTTGCTTTAGAAAACCTCAGCGCTTTCTCTGTAAGCCTCTCCACAGGAGTTATGGCCGTCAGTGCATTATCAATACCCTGCAAAGAATAGTAGGCACTCTCTGCTGTCAAAACAGATTTGTTTCTTGCGGCGATAACACTTTCTTGTGCCTTTGCAGCAAGATTCTTTGCCTCTGCGGATACAGTTACTTGTGTTACTTGGACAGTTTTTTTCTTTAACTCCACCTCTGCCTGCTTGGCAGTATCTTCTGCCTGCTTAGCACTTGCTGCTGCGAGCTTAGCATCAGTTAGTGTCTTCTTGATACTCATCAGTGCCAGTCCAATCTGCTCTGCAGCCATTAGGGTAGTTTGAAAAAGATTTGTAGCTTCTTTCGTATTGTTTTCCATTGGCACCGCGAGGAGTTTCGGGGTCTCTCCATCATTTAGTGTCTCTACCACCTTGTCACGGTTGAAGGCAATTGTAGAACTCTGCGCCAGGGACACTAACAGTTTATTCACCTCCTTTGCCCGATCCCGTGCTTTATCCGCATGCTCCTTGGCCCCCTCGAGGAACTCCATCGCCTTCGATGACTTTCCCGCAGCACTTCGCGCACTCTCAGCAGCAGCCGTGAGACCACTTACATCCAATGTCTTTTCCTGCACTGAAGGTGTCTTCACCTCAGCAACCTTCTTCAGCTCACTCTCTCCTTTGGTAATACTATTTAGTGCCTTGATTGTCATACTCTCTGCAACTCTGATACACCACCTCGCTCTGGTGGCCTTCTCCATGAATTTATCGACCTCACTCTTTGCTTCCTCAGTTTTGTTATAAATCAGGCCCGCGTATCGCAGTACATCCCCGGTCACTGACACATTTTTGGTGCAGGCATCCACCTTCGCCTGCGCTGCCTCCCAAGTACCAGCAGCGGGAAGCACAGCGCTCTCAGCAGCCGTCACGCACAAGGCCGTGCAGCACAGAGCAGCGGCCAACAACCACATAACGCGGCGCACCGTCACCATGATTCAATATCGCTTCAACAGCTGGGGTCTGCAGGGAGGATAGAAGAGACACGCTGCACAGCAGACAGCCCCAACACACACACACGGAGCGGAAGGGAGCAGCAGGCACAACACAGGCGGCATCAACCATGATGAAAAGAAACTCATCAGAGAAAAGAGAGCTGGACGGCGGAAGAGACACACACACTCCGCTGGAGTCCAAACCCACAAGGCCCAAAACAAAGAGGGAACAACGAGGCAGCAGCAGCGCACGTGTGTTCAGTCGTACTGCTGGCCCTCATGTCCCGATGCGTGTGTGTGTGTCCCGGTGCGCGGCGCAGACACGGCGGGCGGAGCGAAGGACGCACCACACACACACAGAGAGAGAATGATGAAAAGAGAATCCCCAGCAGGAGAGACAGTTAGTGGGCGGCGCACAGCAGCGCGCAAAGCAAAGCCCAAGCAAGAAAAGAAAAAAGCCCTCAACAGACAACGCCAAGCACAGTGCGTGTCGTCGAGGGCAAGTGGGTCGGCGTTACGCCCACAACGGGATAGCAAGAAGCGAAAAAAAAGGATCTTACCAATCAGGCGTGCAGTCCTCGGGGCTCAGCAGAATTACGGTCGGAGCACCACCGCCCCACGCACACACAGACACACACGCAGGTCTCACCACACGGCCACACAGGCCAGCAGCAGCAGCATCAGTGGGGCACGCACCCTCGCGGGGATGTCGCTGCTGCCATCAGGGAAGTTGGAAAGGAGTCTCTCATTCTCCGCCATGTTGCCGCCGTTGAGCACGGGCTCACGTGCGGTGGCCGTTTCCGTTGCGGAGGAATGTGCCGCAGACGTAACTTCAGCATCAGTGGCGGGAGTCCCACCGGCGGTGGAGGATTGTTCGTAAGGACCGCCCTCCTGATTTGCTGGCCTCACTTCCGGTTGCTGCGGACGGTGGAGTCCTCCAGCCCCCGCCAGCTTCTCCAACTCCCCCTCCACCAGCCGCCCCTTTGCGCCCTCAGTTTCGCCGGGCTGCCGCACGTCGGCCTTCCCCAGCGCAGCTTCGGGTGTCGGTCCAGCCAACACGCTCTCCTCACTTGCGGCGGTCTCCTGCGTAACCACAATAGGAATCAGCGCGTCCTCAGCACCCTTTACTGCTTCATCGGCATTGCTCATCACAGAAGTGAACTTGTCCAAGGCCCAAATGACTCCAGAATCGATATTCCAGCTTTTCACCTTCAGATCACTTAATAATTTACTCCTCCATAGTGCGTCGTTTTTCGTCATTTTATCCACCACATCGAAAAGTTCCTTCCCTGCTACCACGAGGCGGCCAGCTGTATCATGAAGCCTCACCGAAGCATTATATTCCTTCTGCGCCTCATAGGAGCAATAGAATAGTGCTTTCTTTACAGCCGCTGCGGTTGCCTTTGCGGCACTCACTGCATCTTTCACGGACCGATCCGGAACTCTGCAATTCGCTTCCACCAGTCCAATGTGCTGCACCGCCTCATCTGCCTCGGTCTCTGATATCCTGGCAGCCTGCATGTGAGTGTCGGCCTTCGACTTTATTTCCACGGCATTCCCCAACATCTTTGTGATATTTTCGTTTAATTTATTTACCTCCTCCTTCTCCTTGGGGGGCCACGGGCCGTTGTAAGGCAATTGAATCTGATTCACGGCAAGACCAACATCCCGAAGCCTTTGAGAAACAGCAAGCAAGTTATACACCGCGTCATGGCCAGCTTTAGCATTCGCCTTGGCTTCCTTCACCGCCTCCTTCGCCTTCCTCACTGCTTCCTCCGCCTCCTTCACTGCAGTCTGAGCATCTTCGGCGGTGCACTCCCATATTCTCGTCGTCTCTGACGTGTCCTGTTGCTTCTCCAGGTCTGCCTCTTCAGAAACACTCCCTCCCATCCCTTCCTCAGCAGCCGTCACGCACAAGGCCGTGCAGCACAGAGCAGCAGCCAACACCCACACAACGCGGCGCACCGTCACCATCATTCAATATCGCCTCAACAGCTGGGGTCTGCAGGGAGGATAGAAGAGACACGCTGCACAGCAGACAGCCCCAACACACACGGAGCGGAAGGGAGCAGCACGCACAACACAGGCGGCATCAACCATGATAAAAAGAAACCCATTAGAGAAAAGAGAGCTGGACAGCGGAAGAGACACACACACTCCGCTGGAGTCCAAGCAAACAAGGCCCAAAACAAAGAGGGAACAACGAGGCAGCAGCAGCGCACGTGTGTGCAGTCGTACTGCTGGCCCTCATGTCCCGGTGTGTGTGTGTCCCGGTGCGCGGCACAGAGACGACGGGCGGAGCGAAGGACGCACCACACACACACAGAGAGAGATGAACAGCGAATCTCCCAGCAGGAGAGACAGTTAGTGAGCGGCGCACAGCAGCGCGCAAAGCAAAGCCCAAGCAAGAAAAAAGAAAAGAAAAAAGAAAACACGCCTACCCTTCCCAAAGTGCAGTGCACAGTGCGTGTCGTCGAGGGCAAGTGGGTCGGCGTTACGCCCACAACGGGGCAGCAAGAAACGAAAAAACAAAAGAATCTTAACAATCAGGCGTGCAGTCCTCGGGGCTCAGCAGAATTACGGTCGGAGCACCACCGCCCCACGCACACACAGACACACACGCAGGTCTCACCACACGGCCACACAGGCCAGCAGCAGCAGCAGCATCAGTGGGGCACGCACCCACGCGGGGATGTCGCTGCCGTCAACGCCTGCAATCAGCTTCTCAGCGTCGGTAGCTTTCATTTCAGTTTCCAGTGCTTCGGTAACGGCGGCGGGTGTCTCCCGTGGCGCAGGAATAGGTAGTTTGAGGCCGCCGTCAGCACCAGAACTGCGCTCACGCACCTCATTCACAGCAGTGGCGAACTGCCCTTCGTCAACCTTCTTCACGGTCTCTTCCAGCTTCTTCTCCACCTGCGGCAGCACAGCTTCTGCTTTCTTCAGCAAGCCTTCGGCCGCCGCCTTCGCTGCAATGGTCGTCTGCACAGCGTCCTCAGTGTCCAGCGTCAAACCCTTCGCAACGCCGAGCAGTTTCCGGGTGCGGTTCAGCATACGAGCGGCGGAAATAGTTACCTCCACGCTCTTCTCCAGAGTGTCATGCACAAGGTCCGCCACAGGAACGAAATCGTTTCTTAATGCTTTGAGGGTTTCGATATCCTTCGAGGCTTCAGTATTTGTTGCACTGCTGGCAGCCGCTGTTGCGTTAGCGAAATCAGAGACACTCGACGTCAGATTCGCTGCTGCGTCCACAGCACCAGAGACACTCTCCATCAGCTTCGCAATCTTGTCCACTTCAGTCCGGCATTCCTCCGCCACGGCGCTCGACTTCGCAACGATCTCAACCGCCTTCGTCAGCGCAGTGAACGCCTCTCCCGCAGCCGCAGTAGTACTTTGCAGGGTATCCCGGACATGCTGCTCCGCGTTCTTGGCGCTGGTCACCGCCTTCGTCGGGGCATCTCCCAGCAAAGCGAACAGCGCCTTCGCCTTCGCAGCGCTGGCTGCGGCCTGTGCAATCTTTTCTTTTGACGCAGCGTCCCTGACGCTCGTTACAAAATTCGCGTCAGTCGCAGATGAGTCAGCCTCGGGTTTCACCGGCACCCCCATCTTAGACTCTTTACTAGGAGGCACAACCTCACTCAGGTTCACCAGCGCATAATACGAGATCGCAAGCGCCGGCATCGCCACCTCCGAGACAACAACCTGCAGTGCGTAGTCAGCCACCTTGATGACCCTCTCCACCGCAGCCGTCATGTTCCCCAGCGCGTCCTTCGCACGGACTGCATCCGCCTTCTTCTTCGCGGCCTCCACATCGGTCTGGTCCGTGGTAGATTCCGCCTGCGCAGGTCCACTGGTTGCTGGACTCGTTCCGCCTGGAGGGCTGGCACCGGTAGCTTCAGCCGCAGCCGTCACGCACAAGGCCGTGCAGCACAGAGCAGCAGCCAACAAGCACACAACGCGGCGCACCGTCGCCATCATTCAATATCGC